GTAACATTCACTGACTTCCACAATGTTTTCTCTTCATTTCTTTGAGTGTTCCTGAAAACCAACAAGTTGACCTTTGGAATGACCTTATTATTGTCTCATGTTTTTGATCTGAGTTTGTTTTACAGAATGAAATGTCTGAATGAGTGCTCATCCAAGACTGCTGATTCCATACTTTTTGCCAGGGTTGTAAAATATTGAGTTATTGTTTGCTGAGTTTGTACCTTTGTCTTCTGTGTGGGACAGATGACTTCCTGTCTGTTCTTTCTGTTCCCAGTTATTTCCACCAAAACATCTGTTCTTCTAAACATGGAAAATGATTATTAAAAAACATTTTAAGTGTTCTTTAAGTTGCAAACTTTTATAAATGAACAGAATCGTGTTCATATCTATTTAGGAAAAACCTCAGTTTTGTTTCCGAGCTGCTGCAGGATCACCATCATGTCCAAATCCTCGTCGTCCTCGTCTTCCTCTCCTCTCTTCTGAACTTCCTGCAGCCTCAGCTGAAACTGCCACTCCAGGCCGAGCCTCCTGAGTCGCTCGTTCTCCTCCGCGGTGCGCTTGGCCTTGGCCTGAAGCAGCTGCACCTCCTTGTGTAGGAGCTGCACGGCCTGAAGCCTCCCCTGCTCCTGCAGCTTCTCCTGGGCCTCCCTCCTCCAGGGATCACACAGTCCCTGGTGGTCTCTCTGCGTTACTGGACCTGTGGTCTTCTGTTCAGGGGGCGGTTCTTGGAAGGAAACATGTTTTGTTGGAGTGATGCTGACCTTGGGCTTCTYTGCTCTGGCTCCAGGTGTGGTTGATCTTTGCTGCCACAGAACCAGGTCCTGACCAACTCGAGGGCTGTGCTTGGCTTTAAGTGCTTCAGTCTTCATCTGCATCAAAGAGGAGCTCTGTTGGAAGGTAGTGAGCGGAGGATTGGTCGGTGCACTGACCGCTCTGGTTACAGGGATGTCGATGCGGATCGGGTGGATCGAGGGGGTCGGGATGGACTGCTGTGAAAAGGGGGTTTTCCAGACACCAGCAGCACTTTTCTGGCTGCTCTGCTGCTGTTTAAAGGGAGAGCTGTGATTGGACAGGAGGTTGTGCGCAGAAACACTGGAGCGGATAGGGAAAGATGAAAGGTGGTCCCTCTGTCCCCGTGTGTTCTGTCTTTTGTCCAGCAGGGGTCCTTCACTGTCCATACACAGGTTCTCTTGTGAGACAGCCTGACGCTTAAACAAAGAAAAAATGTTTCATTTTCATTCATCAAACTGTATTTGTTTGTATTATTTACTGTTAAATATTTTAATGATTTAAAATATGGATGAATTTCATTGAAACTTTATGGGTCACTAAACTAAGTTGAAACTGACAGGAAGACAGCATGTGTCAGATCAGGGATCAGGTCACATCAGAACAGTCCAATGTTTGGATCATTATTCTGTTGGACCCATGACTTGTGACTGAGACTAAACTTTCTGACACTGAGCAGCACATTAAGCTCCAGAATGCCTTGATAGTCTTGAGATTTCATTGTACTTTACTATAGAGTTAGGACTCCCCGTTCCACAACAAAACCGAGCCGCCTCTACGTCTCCCTGTAGGTCCAGGATTCTGTTCTTTGTTTCATGGTTTGGTCTGTGAACACAGAGCTGATGGGACTTGTTGTCAGAAAGTTCTGATTTTGTTTCAGGAGTTCTGATCAATTATAGACCTATTTCTATACTATATTATTGTATTGTATATTATTCTATTCTATGTTGTTGCAAGTATGACTCAGCCCCCTGTGAACTAAAGGTGTGATTCAGGGCCCCAATAATCGTGTGTTTCCATCCAGTTATAGAGTGAATTCTCATCGAACTTTTCAAAATTCGCAAAAAATTAAATAAATAAAAATTCGAAACTAGACTGTTTCCATCTAGTTTCTCTCTCGACTGTTTGATGCGAATAAAGGAGGCTACGCAACGCGTGATTACGTCAGACGAGGCTACGCAACGCGTGGTTACGTCAGACGAGGCTACGCAATGCGTGGTTACGTCAGACGAGGCTACGCAATGCGTGGTTATGTCAGACGAGGCTACGCAACGCGTGATTACATCAGACAAGGCTACGCAACGCATGATTACATCAGACGAGGCTACGCAACGTGTGATTATGTCAGACGAGGTTACGCAATGCGTGATTACGTCAGACGAGGCTACGCAACGTGTGATTACGTCAGACGTCGGCGACAAGCTTTGCGGTAGTAAACAGGAAGTAAAACTTGCTAACTAGCAGAGGCTAATCATCTCGGGACAATGGAGCGATTTTTTCGTGAATGCCTTATGTGTGTGTGAATGTAACGTTTCTTTCGCAAATTAAAGAGAGAAATGTTCCCATCTCTTCGTCAGTCCACACGTACCTGTTGTTGTTCACAGCCATGTTTTCGCACGTTTATGATAACATCCGGGACGAGGCAGGAAAGTGGAAACAGCTGAACGTTACGTGAAATAAATATGCGCTACGTCAGAATTTATTCGGCAAACGTGTTTCCATTTCCCGTTTTACACATTAACTACTTTGTGAATCATCCAAAAACCACCTCAAGCGAACGTAAAAACTTTTTAGCAAATTGAGGAATTTTTTTTAAATTTTGCTGTTTCCATCCAACTTTTTTTCGCATTTTTAATGCGACACTTCTAAATGTGCATCAAAAAGCCTTGATGGAAACACGGTTACTGACACCAACACAAAGAGGGAGAGAGGGACAAAAAAACAAGGGGACTTTGAACCCCGCTTGCATCCACTACATACAAATAACAAAACACCAAATAACCACAGCCGAAGCATCCAAACCAATAAGTCAGGTGATGGGGCACATGACCCTCTATGAACAATAGAACTAATCAAGCCTATTGTTAGGCGATGGCCCTCTTTTGCATGTGACTAACCTGTTTGTCCACCATGTGGAGGCGGAGCTTATAAATACCAACTGACGCCAGCTGACCAGCACCCGGCGGCGAGCCGGCTCTGCTGGCAGGTGATGACGCTGGTCAGACCCGGCAGACCCAAACGCACAGTGAGTGCCTGCTGGGAACGTCTGCCAGAGCCTCCCGCCAGATAGTGTGAATTGCCTTTTGCTGATAACTTTAGCTGAACGGAAAATGCTCTGCCTCACCTTCCGCGTTCCTTGTACGCAGTGCAAAATGGTCATGTCATGACGCAAGACCCTTAGAGGACTCCCCCCAGCCCAACAGCATCTCCCACCGCCAGTGTACCCCGGCAGGCTCAAGGGCCACGACCACGACAAGCATCGACAACCCCATGGCCACAGCTCAGGCAAGCCGCCTCGACAAAGAAGACACGGAACATGGCCCACTAGGACCCAACGTCCCCCACCTCCCCAGGAACGTGCTCGAATCTCTCCCAGAAGTGCGAGCCGAAGCTCCAGCCCACTGGAGACTCTGACAGATGCCCCCAGCAAACCCCCACCACACGTCTGGGTCTGCCAGGTCCGACTGGCTTCCTCCCCCAGCAACGGAGCCAACCCACCACCAGGGACTGGCCAGCTGACAGCTCCGCCCCGCTCTCCACCCAAGCGTCCAAAACACGTGTCCACGGACCAGACGAAACGAACAAAGTCAATCACCAAACTGCAGCCCAGGGTGTCCTGGCACCAAAAGCACACATGGACACCCCCACGCCTGAACATGGTGCCCACCACAGACAATCCATGACGAGCACAGAAGCCCAACAACAAAATACTTCTCGGGCTCAGATCGGGGGCTGCTCCTCCCAACCACGCCTCTCCAGGTCCCACTGCCATCACCCACACGAGCGCCGAAGTCCCCCAGCAGAACGAGGGAGTCCCCGCCAGGAGCGCTCTCCAGCACCCCCTCCATAGACTCCAAAGAGGCCCCCAAGTCGCACGAAAGTCCCCCCACCACCCCATGGCCCCTCCAAACTCCGCACACGCCTGGGTTTTTAGGAAGGAAGGCAGGCAGGCAGGCAGGCACTCACTCACCCACCCAGGCGTGGGAGATCAGAGAGGCCACGGAAAAAGTCCTCGCACGACCCCGGGGCCCCCCAGAGTCCCGGAGGGGATGCCTGAGAGCATCCCGGCAGGGACTCTCCCGTTCCGCCGGGGGACCCCAATGTCCATGTGGGCAATGACAGC